CATATATTAGAATAAAAAGTAAAATATTCATTATAAGCTGTGTATTATAAAATAGGAATGGGAGAGAATATATATATCACACACATATATTAGAATAAGAAGTAAAATATTCATTATAAGCTGTGTATTATAAAATAGGAATGGGAGAGAACATGTTCCTTGAGGCAAAACAACTTAGAAGATGAGAAAAAGGTAAACCAGGGTGATGCTAAATTCAGTTTGTACGTTACAACCTTGACTAGAAAAAAAATAAGCTGGAAAGGAAAAGCATACACTATTCTATTTATTTTCTAAAATCTGTCAACTTTCTTAAAGTTTGTTGAGGTGTAGTCTCCAGGGAGTCCTACTGCGTGTGCAAAGACCCGTCCTCTCTGAAGTCCTCTTCACTAGAGCCTCTGAGGGGAGGAGAAGCAAGCTCTTCTCATGTGACTTACAGACTCACAAACCCAATGGAGAGTCATTCAGGAATTGATTGACTCCGTGGTAATTAGTCGTGTGGTTTGGTTTGGTTCTATGGAGAGCTCTGGTGGCTTAGTCCCTATGGAATTGCCCTGCTAACTAAAGGCGGCACCTTTGGAAGTTCAAATCCAACAACGGTTCTTAGGGAGAAATAGGACAATCTTCTCCCTTGTTATTTACAGCCTTGGAAATACACTGGAGAGTCAACAGAAATGAGTGAGCTCAGGGCTCATTGAAATGTAGCAGGTTTATCATTTTGACTGTCACCTTGAGAACGGGAAAACAAGGTCTTTGGGAGGTTTCCAAGAAATGTAGGGAAATGGAAAGGTGATAGAAAGAGCTGAGTGCAGATTAGCCCATAACAAAATGAGAAAATACAGAGAGAACAAAGTATACTCCTTAGAGGCAAGGATGCTGAAACTTCTTCTCACTTACTTCGGGCATATTTTCAGCAGGAGTTAGTCCTTGGAGAGAGACATTGTGCTGAGAACAGTGAGGATCAGTGAAAGAGAAAGAGAGGCTGAGACTGAGAATGGGGGCGGTAGGACAGCTCAGGGCAGGGCAAGGTTCAGATCAGTTTTGTTCATGGCCTTAGCACAATGGCGCCTGTAGTTTTTGTGCGGCAGACCTTTAACATCACCTCTTCACAGAGGTTGTAACAGCTGAAATTGCAGAACAGAAATTGCACACCCTTCTGGGTTCCAGACTTTCTGGAGCCAGGAAGGTTGGATGAACTCTTGAAACTACTGTCCTGAGGGAATCTTCACACTTTAATTCAAAACTATCCCCTCAAGTCTTCTTAAAACCAAACAGTAGTTTAGCTTAACTATTAAAAAAGTTTAGCCTTGAGCATTTTGTTCTTTTAAGAACTTCCCCATTCCCTAAGGGATGGAGAGATAATGAACACTGCATTGGAACACATTGGGGGAAGAACTGTTTGAAAATAATATATGATTATGCATTATATGTATGAGAACAGTCTAGAACAAGGGGGACATTGCGGGTGGCTTGGGGAGGGGAGAAAAGGAGGAGAAGATGTGCAACAATGAATAAACTTCTAAAAAAAAGAACTATCTGTGTGGTTATGAGTTAAGAGATTAAATAGGAATTGGGTTTTTTTTAATTTTTTTGTTTTTGTTTTTAATTTATTTATTTATTTTTAATTTCAATGAACATCTACAGAGATTTTGGAATTCCATTCATTCATTGTTGCACGTTTCTCCCCGACCCCCGACAGAGGAATAACTTAGAAAATCAGGGTCATAATGGTTGCACAAGTCATAGAATGTACTTAAATGTAATGTAGAAATATGTTATTAATGTTACTGGATGGTACATGTAGCAGAAAGATTATCTATTGATGAGCTGGTGGGGTTAAGCAGTTGACCTTTGGGTTAGAGGCTAAGAGTATGACTTCCATGCCACTGGGACTCGATCCACCAACTATTCCTCTTCCATCAATCTGCTCACAACTTGGCAAGTTCCTGATTTCAGTTACCCATTTATTTCTTTATTAATGGACTTCACCACCTCCTGCAACACTGCCCATCTTCCACAAACCTGGCTCAGAGTGTTAGTTCCCTGGTTATTTTCCCTCAAATCCTAGAGAAAGTGATGTCAGTGATTACCACAATGGTGGAAACCTTACAGGTGGCCCAGGAAAAGGCCAGGTTGACATCTACTGTTCATATGGGCACTATGTGTCAGTTAGCTCGATGACACCTAACAACTTATTTGATACTCCTGTAATCTTTAAAGTCAGCCAGGCCGACGCTGAAGTCAATTCCAATTCTTGTAATTCCTTATAATCCTTATAATTCCTCTCCAGGACAGAATGGAAATGTCCTGGAGGGCTTCCACCTTTATAGAAGCAGATGAAAGGTCTGAACAGCAAAATCTATAACTACCAGTCAGTAACCAGGACTCCAATGTTTTCAGGGAGGATGAGCAAATTTATCATGAAGGGCCAGGCAGCATTTTAGACTGTGTAGGCCATGGGTCTTTTGTCACAACTGCTCAATTCTGGTTTCACAGAATAAAAGGAAAACAAAGAGAGGACACTTTGACGAGTTTCAGAGAAGTCTAAGGGAAACCGCAGGCCCTGCAAAAGTCACCTTTGACTCTTTGCCTGGTTTTCACCAGCAAAGCACCAGCAGATGGCAGCAGAGAGCTGCTCTCCTGGCGCACACTCCTGCTCCAGGACAAAGACAACAGAAGAGCAGAGGAAGAACAGTTCCTGCTTTGCCCCAAGGCCCCATCCAAAGAGGAAGGGTGTGTAAACACTACATGTAAACAGATCTCAGCTCAAGGTCCTGAAAGTCACATCACTGTAGAATTGCCTCCCCAGAGAGAGAGGAGACAACAAGAAAAATGTGGAGAAATTGCATGACAAAGTCTGAAATCAGAAAAATGTAGGCTTAAAAATAAAAACCAGAATTGTACATGCAAATGTGCTCTAAGCAAACTTACTGAGTCACACCACTCTAGTGAACTGTTAGGAATCTTTTGGGTGGCGGCTCCGCTTGTTTCTTTCTTTTTTTTTAAATTTCAAAATAAATACCACAACAAATTTTAGTGAGTGTATCAGAAATGATGAGGATGGCACAAAACAGGACAGGGTCCAGATCTGTTATTCATGGGGTTACTATTGGTCATACTCGACTCAGTGGCACCTAACAACAACAATATTATATTTTCATTTATAATACATAGCTATAAATTAGTACATAATTTAAATTATATATTCATTTATCTGAAGCTTCAGCTGACATACTTTGGGCATGTTGCAAGGAGGCACCAGTCCTTGTGGAGTGACGTCATGCTTGGTAGAGTGGAGGGACGATGCAGGGCAGGAAGACCCTCCACGGGATGGATCGTTTCAGTGATTGAGGTGGTGGGAGCAGGTGTGTCTGACACAGTGAGGTTGGCACAGAATAGAGCAGGGTTTAAGGCTTTTTTACATAGCGTCGTCGTTATGAGTAGCAAGGGACTCAATGGCACATAGCAACAAACAACAACAATGTATCATTATAAATGAATAGTTTGGGCTTCTAAAACTATAAATCACAAAGGAAGAGATTATTCATCTTTCTCCACTGCAGCCATTGGTGGATTTGAACCCAAAAAAAGGCATTGTCTTTAGACTGCTAGGGCAATTCCCAATGGCTTGTATCTTTACTATGCTGTTGGTAGTTGCCTTCAGGTCAGTCTTACTCAGAGTGATCTAAGGTAAAACCAAACCAAACATTGCTCCTACCTCGTGTTTGGTAATCCCTACGTCTGATACAGGGAGCCAGAGCACTCCTTGGAGGCAAGGATAGCAAAGCTACATCTCTTACACTTTCAACATGTTGCTAGGAGAAGCCGTTCCTTGGAAAAGGACATTATGTTTGGAAAGTAGGAGAGTCAGAGAAGAAGAGGAAGACTCTCAAGCAGATGGATTAACACAGTTATACAGTAGTGGGCTCAAGTGTATCAGAGAGGATGAGAATGGCACAGACTAGGGCAGGGTTCAGATCTGTTGTTTGTAGGGTTGTTCTGAGTCTCACTTGACTCAACAGCATCTAACAACAACAACTATTGAGCACAGTGTTACAGCCACTGTCTCAATCCATTTGGTTGAAAGTCGTCTTTTTTCCTGACCCTCTACTTGACGATGCATGATGTTTTTCTCAAGGGACTGATCGCACCAGATAACATATCCAAAGCATATAAGATATTCTGTTTGTACTCCCTCCAAGACATAGTGTTCCATTCTTCTGGCAGTTCATAGTGTGTTCAGTATTATTTGTCAACATCAAAATTCACAGGTATCTGTTCTTCAGTCTTTTTAATTACAGTTTGTAATTATTAAAAACATCCTGACTTGGATAAAGTGGAAGGTAGTCATTAAGGTGACTCTTTCCTGTTTTCACGTTTACAAAGAGATTTTTTGCAGCAGACCTGCCCAGCGCAATGACGTGTTTGAATAATGACTGCTGTTTTCATGGGTATTGATGGAAGATCCAAATAAAAAGAAAACCTGGGCAATTGAACCTTTTCTCTTTTTGTCATGATGTTGCTTATTGATCCATGGTTTTGTAATTAATCTGGTTGTGAGAATTTTTTTGGTGTTTTATGTGGAAGTGTAATGCATGTTGAAGGCTGCAGTCTTTGCTCTTCATCCGTAAGTGATTCATATCCTCTTTGCTTTCAGTCAGCAATGTTACACCATCTGCAAATCACACATTGCAATGAATCATCCCTCAGTCTTGATGCCACATTCTTCTTCA